CTGGGGCGCGGGCCGCGAGAGGGAGGCGCACACACCTTTTGCAGCGTAGCGGGCACGGAGGGTGCGCTGCTTGGCTGGGGGGTCGTGTGCGGGTGGGGAGGACGCGCTTCCTTCCCGCCCGGCACGGGAAGGGGCGGAGCGGCCGGCGGGGCGGCGAGTCCGATGGAGAGGACGGCCGAGGCCGCCGCCTCACGCTCCTCCTCCTCGGACTTCTCCTCGGCGGCGTGAAAATTGACATTGTGCAGCGGCCCTCGAAGCAACGAGCTGGCGGCGGTGCGCCCGTCAAAGGGGAGGAAGGGCGGTGGCTCCGCCGCCGCCGCCGCCGCCGCCTCCTTTTCCCGCTCTTGGTGCATCAAGTGCTGCAAGTCTGCGACCCTCGAGATGCCGAGCGAGAGCGTGTGCCGCACGGAGTTGAGCTGTGCGTTCTCCGGGTCCGCGGCGAGCATCTACACGGAGGGAGGGAGTCAGAGAGGTGTGGAGGCTGCGTCGCGTGCGGGCATGGTAACGGATAGCGAGGCGGGTGCGCAGCCCCCCCAGGCTGCGGGAGACCACCTGCTCGACTTGCCCGAGGTGGTGAGCGAGCTTTAAAACCTGCGAGTCGAGTTCCGCCAATCCTACCGACAGCGGCAGGATCGGCTCCGCCAGGTTCTGCCACGTGGGCGGCAGGATCGGCTCCGCAAAATTCTGCCACGCGCGCTTCTGGCCGACGTGGGGAGTTGGCGCCTCGTCGGCAGCCAGGGGCGGCATCTGGACGTCAAACACGTCGTGGCACGAGCTGCACTGCACGGAGGTGATCTCGGTCTGCAGTGTGACGAGAAGCATCGACGCGCATCCCGGGCACGCAAGCTGGAACTGCTCCCCCTCGGAAGGCTCTATCAGCTCGGGCGAGGAGGAGGGCCCAGGCGCCACATCGGCGTCGTCCTCGAAGGTGGCGTCCACCATGATGGGTGTTAGGACCATTTTCAGGATGTGCCGCCGCCAGCTCTAAAAAAAATTACGCGCGGCGCCGTACACACTGTAGTCGGCCCCGTGAACCTTCACGAGACAGTCTGCTGTGAGAGCCCCTGAAGAGTGCGAAAGGGGTTGTAAAAAATGGGGAGAGGTGACGCCAACTCCAACTAAAGACAGCGACGCAACACGTTTGTCGTTTCACGATCTCTCAACGCACTCACTCCCCTCCGCTTTACACTAGAGGCTACAGCTAGAGGGCTCAGATGGTCGGCACCCTTCGGTGTGAGCGAGGTTGCCGAAGCCCGCCACTTGCACATGCGACATGGACATGCCGGAGCCGTTGTCAACCACAAGCGCCGCAACTTCGTCGTCAGCCATTTTTGTTGTTTGGAAGGAGGAGTTGGGGTGCCTGCGGCGGGGCGAGGGGGCGTCCGGCGGTGAGCGGGTGCGCGGCGGTGCGTGGATCGGGTCGGGGGGCGCGCGTGCTCGGGGGCGAGAGGGTGGCGGCGCCGAAGTCGGATACCTTTGAGTGCTCGCCGATTGCCGAGCGTGGAAGCCGCCGCGTCCTCCTTTGTTTCTTTTTTCGTGCTCGGGTTTGGCTTTCCCGTGAGCTGTGACATATGCGGCGGGCCCCATCCCGAGCAATTTGCCTCTCAGCTCTCTCCCTCTCCCTCCGCCTTCTTTGACCAGTGCTGTTCGCCCCAACCAACCAACGCGCAACGCCGCAACGGTGTCCCACCGTCCAACCCGACCGTCGGGCGACTGTCGGAGTGTCTCGCGACCACGAACGCACACACACACACATGCTAACCCCCCCCCCGCCCCCCCCCTCTCTCGCGCGCGCGTGGGTAGGGGCGCTTATCGACCTGTGGAAGCACACAGACGCCCAACTCGCTGTTTATTTATAGGGGCCTCGAAGCTGCGTTTTATATTGCGTGGGGGCGGTGCGTATTCTCGTATCACTAGCTAGTGTCGTGTCCACTAGCTCCGAGTAGAGGGGGCGTCATGCTGCTAAGGGGAAACCTGGTGCGCAGAACCAACCCTCGGAGACCCGTGTTATGGCCCTGCGACCGCGCACCACCCAGGGCCAGGGCTCTCTTGCCCGCAACCCGATCCCGAGCATCCGGCCCGCTGGGTGCGCTTCTTAGCTCCCCGGCCCTGGGGGTGAGGTTAATGACTGCACTCCATACCAAGTGCTCCAAGTGCTCCCAACCAATGCGCGAGACTCTGTACATCGCGTGTATAGCGCGTCCGTCGCCTCGGCGAGAGAGAGAGAGAGCAGAGAGCATGGAAGTATCCAGGCGCGACAGCGACGCTGCGCTGCCTGGCCGGCCAAGGTCTCGATATTCCTGGGCAGCAGCTGGTTATATGCTCATCGCCGTGGCCAAGCCGGCCAGCCGCGCGCGCGCCGAGCCCGCCCCCCGCGGCGGGGGCGAGAGGGCAGAGGGCGCCGAAGCCTGAAACCGTTTTCTCTCTTCTTCTTTCGTTTTGACAAGGCAGGCGCCTGGCGGAGGGCCGGAGGAGGAGGAGGAGAAGAAGGAACACCGGGCCGCCAACCCGGCGATGAACCTGTGTACCAGCCTCCACTCGTCGCCAGGATTGGTTGGGCAGGTGAGCGTCACTCAGGAGACATGATTTCGCGTGAACACAACTAACTGACGGATTCGCTCCTGACAGCCGCACGCGCCGCACTGCGGCGCGTGCGGCTGGTGCGGCGCGTGCGGCTGTCTTTGTTTGAAATAAAAAGTCGAGTCAGAGCGGGGTCGGCGTTGTCCTGAGTTTTTCTCCCCGAACCGCCCGTCCGAAACCGCTCCGCGGGACGCACGCCGGCGAAGCACCAACAAGCTGCTGTACGGCCCCGGCATCGCCTCCCCTGGCTTAGCTAGACTAAGAGGTATTGTGCACATGGCTGGTCTCTACAATATAAAAACTCAACACTTCACCTCCCAGAGCTCGTCCCGGTCCGTCATAGCCATCCTCGGCCTCAGGAGCGAGGGCCCCGGCCCTGCGGCCGCGGTGTGGTGCGGCGGCGTCACAAAAATCCGACGGCAGAGCACTCGTACGCGGTCGGGCGATCTGAGGCCCGACTAGGCGTATGGATTCCTGGAATCCTGGATTGCCCACCCACTATCACCTGGACCCATCAACAGGCGCCTGCGGCGCCGTGGTCAGAGGTGTTTGTTCACATTCATGCCGCGCAGATGCCGCGTAGCGGAACCTGCGTCCACGGCTGGCAGCCACACAGAAGGAAGTCCGAGCCCGCCAGTTCCCTCTGGTGGGCAGTCTGATTGGGCCTATCGGAGCCCATCTCACCCCCCTGATCCGCCCCTGCCGAGTTCGCCTCTGCAGATCCAATTCTGTTCCCTCGGAACAACCCTTCGACTTCAAGGGACTTTCGGCTTCACACCGCCCTCGGCAGGGTGCTCGAGCCCAGTCTTGATTGAACTCCTCACTGCATCGCTGCAGAGTCCAGAGTGGGCCCCTTGTAATGTGAGAGAGTGCGCTGTGACTGACCGGTGCGTTCTTGTTTCCGATGCGCTTTCTTTCTCTTTTGGAGTGTTCCTTCGCAGAGTCAGTCAGTCAGTGCGCTTTCTTTCTCTTTTGTTCGCTGAGTCAGTCAGTCAGTCGGCGGTGATGCGAACCGCCACACCGCGCTTTTTTGCAGCGCGTTTTCTTTTGGCGCCGTCTCTCTGCGCCTTGTCTGTCGCGTGAGTCGAAAAAGAAAGAAAACATACAGCCAAAGGAGGGATGGGAGGACGGCACGCCGCCACCACACACAGGGATTTCACGGGAAGGAAGGTGTGTTGCTAGCCGTCGCCCACCCTTGGGCGTCTGCCTCTTCCTATCTCTCTTCGCAGTCCCTCGCCGATTCTCGCTGCAACCTTCATGCCACCTCGCTGTCGTCCCACTCCCGTCGTTCTCCCTCCTGTCGCTTCATCCTCTGTCTGTCGCGTCGCTCTCCTCTGCCTCGTTCTGCTGCGCCGCCGCTGCCCGCCGATCCCTTGCTCACGCTCGCGGCTTCTTCTCGGCGCAACTCCGCCCCCCTCCTCGCGGCGTATTTTGGCCCCTCGAGTTTATCAAGCTCTCCTCCCGCAAGGACGACTCTTCTGACACCAAACAAACAAAACCCTCCCCAATCATTTGCCGCCAAGTCATGTGACATGTCGTTGCTCAGGTCCACTCTCGTTTCGGACACTTGCTTGTATGTACCTCCACAGATGAATGATGTTGGCGCTGGGGCCCTCTTCGGTGTGAACACCCTGCGCGCGGGCCTTCTAGGCCCGCGGGTAGTCTCCCCCCATCCCCAGGGCCTCCAGGGCTCGCACCTCAACCTCTCACAGACCAGCGCATACCGCCCGGAGGTATTTTCTTCTCATCAAGGCTGTGAATCGTGCGTGCGAGAGAGAGCGCTCACCTGAATCAGCACCGCTGCGTGCCTTTTAATTTTGAAAGGCGATGTGGTGGCCAAAGCTCTCGTTGTTCGCGCCTCCGCTCCGCGTCGCCGTCGTTGGAGCGGGCGCCATCGGCGGAGAGTTCGCGCTCCGTCACTTTGGCCGGCTCACCGGCACTAGCGTGGTTGGCGTTGTCGACTGCAATGAGGCGGCGGCGAGGAGCCTGGCATCGAGCGTGGGCTGTCCCTCCTTCACTTCGCTGCGCGAGGCGCTCGAGGCGTGCGATCCCGAGCTGATCTACATCGGCACGCCGCCATCGACGCACCGTGAACTAGTGGAGGCGTCCCTCGCCGCCGACTGCCACGTGCTCCTCGAGAAGCCGCTCGCCGCCTCTGGCGCGGACGGCGACGCCATCGTCGCCGCGGCCGAAGCCGCCGCGTCGCGGGGCGTGCTGCTCGGCCTCAACATCGGGATGCGGTGGAACGAGGCGCAGGTCCGGATGCGGCAGCTCGCCCTCGAGGAGCGCGCCGTCGGCCGCCTGAGCGGCGGCTCGCTGGAGCTGCACTTTGCCGCGTGGCCGCGGCCGTGGCAGAGGGTGCCGTGGTGCGCGGGCCGGGCGGAGGGCGGCCCGCTGCGCGAGGTGGGCACACACTTTCTCTTCGGGCTGCAAGAGATCTTCGGCGCGCGCTGCGTGCGGCGGGTGCGGGCCACGGTGACGTACCCGGCGGACCGGCGGCTCTGCGAGAGCGGCGCAGAGGGCGAGCTCGAGCTCGATGGACTTGTGCTGGCGCTGCGGGTGACCACGGACGGGTCGGCGACGGAGGAGAGCGGCGGGGACGACCGGTACGAGCTCCGGCTCGACGGCGAGGGCGGGAGGTCCCTGCTGCTCGAGGACTTCACCTCGCTTCGGCTCGAGCAGCCGCTTCCGCGCGGTTCGCGGACGATGGTGGAGCGCGCGCCGTACGGAAGGCGCGAGAGCGTCGAGAGCGTGGCGGGTGCCGTGAGGAAGATGCGCGGCGAGCGGGATGGCGGCTCCGGCCTCCCCGCACCGCGAATCACCGCGCGAGAGGCGAGGGAGGCGCAGGCGGTGCTGGATGCCATCCTCGCCTCGGACGGAGAGTGGGTCGTGCCAGAGTATTTGTGAGTACCACGTAAAGAAAAGGAACAGGTGACACGACGATTGCTGCCGCGCGCGCGCTCTCTCGGGTCTCTGCTCGAAAGCCACACCGCACATCGGTCATCGACGCACAAACCAGACGCGGTGCCAGACCACCAAGCACCATCCCGCCACACTCCTACACGCTAGTACCGAGAATTCGTTGACGCATCAAGAGGCGATGCGTCAACAAATTCTCCCTGCTCCCTCCGTCTCAAGTCTCATCCAGGTCTCATCGGACGACATCGCCGGGGGGGGGGGAGGGGGGGAGGGGGTCTCTCTCTCCCGCGCGCGCAGTGCACTCTCACGGCGTGTGTCCGCCGGTGGAGGAAGGTGAGAACCTCCGCGCCTCGTTGTTGTCCGCCCTCTGCGCGTCGCGCTCTTATGGAGCGACTCTGAAACATGCCGGTGAGATCTCGTGCTCGTGCTCTTCTCATGGAGCGCAAGCCGCGGGTGCGCCCGACGGCGCAGGCGCCGGTTCCTGCGCTGGCGGCCAACTGCTCATGGCGTTCACCGGTGCGGGCGCTGATGCAAAAGCGGGCACCTGCGTCGGCGACCAGCTCGTAGCAGGCGCGGCCGCGGGGGGCGCCGGTGCAGACGCCGTGGCCATCACGCTCAGAGGCGCCTGCCTCATCTGCGGCACCATCGCTGGCGCGTATGCCGCCATGCTGCCCGGCATAGGCGCGTTCGGCATACCCGTGCTGATGTACTGTGGCGCGAGGTGGTAGCCCTGCATACCGGCGGGCATCGGGTACGTGTTGGGCAGCACGCCGTGCTCGCGGCTGGTCGGCGACGGCAGGCCCTGATCGGGGGACGAGAATGGGGAAGGGTTCGCACGAGGAGGGCGCAAGTGCGCGACGCTCTCAGGCGCGCTCACCGTCGCTCGCTGGCACGTGCGCGACTTGTGCCCGATGCCGCCGCACACCGAGCAGCGCTGCGGCTTGTTCTTGCGCGATGAAGGCATCTGATGGCAGCGGTGGGGGGCGGCAATGTCGGGCGGGGCCTTGCTTGTGGGCACTCTGCAGGGGGCTTGTATCGCGCCTTGGGCACGCCCGTGTAGACCACGCGGTCGTTCTCGACCAGCCCAGCTGCAGAGGCGAGCCCGCTCAAGCCGCCCTCGGGTTCCCGGCCCCTCTTCGTCGTCCTCGCGCGCAGCACCATCTCTTGCGTGTCAGCGAGCTGCCGCATGCCCGTCGTGAGCTGGTCCCTCACGCCGAGGAGGACGGTGTTGTGCGGGTCGGCGGCAAGCATCTGGGGCCGCCGCGGGGTGCGTCAGGGGCTCGCCGCCGGGGCGTGGCGAGCCCGGGGCGGCGAGGAGTGCGAGGTGTGGGCCCCGCTGTGCGGCCTGCTGCGCCTGCTCGATCTGTTCGCGATGGTGCGCGCATGTCATCAGGGAGGACTCGAGCTCCGTGGCGGTGGAGTCGAGCTGCTCGGGCCGGTTGCGCTGCTGGCCGACTGCGGGTCCGCCTACGGCCGCGGCGCACGGGGTTCGAGGTTCTGACTGGCGAGGGCTGCCGCTGAGCGTGAATGCGCCTGCACCTCCGGTGGCAGCCGGCGGCGGCGCCCGAGGAGGCGGCGCGATCGGCGGCGCATCGCGCGGCGGCATCTGCACATCGAACACGTCGCGGCACGAGTCGCACTGCACGGACGTGATCTCCGCCTGCAGCGCGGCCTGCAGCGTCGCCCCGCAGCCAGGGCAAGCGAACACGAACGCCTCGGGCGCCTTCGTGCTGGGGTGGCTGGCGGGCTGCTTGCACGGGGCCTCAGTCGCCGCATTGGCGTCCACGGTGTTGGCGTCCATCGCACTCAGATGCGACCGGTCCGCCACCGCCGCCATCGCGAAGCGCGGGCTCTGTCTCAGGGGGGTGGTATGTCGTTGAGGGGAAGGTGGTATGGAGTCTCGTCGGCGAGGCCGGTGGTGAAATGAGGCGGAGGCGGACGTTTTGCTTTTTCCAATGGAAATCGACGAAGTTTGTAATCGGCGATCGAGTTTCTCGGGAAGAGTCCTACTTTTCTTGTTCGCCCTCAACGTGCGCCCCCCCCATGATAGACAGAACTTTAGAGTTTGACGCCTCGTTGTAGTATCGAGTTGACTGATGAGAGTGTGACAGAGCGGTGAGAGGGAGAGGGGGGGAGGGAGAAAGAGGGGAGGGACGAGGGAGGGAGGGAGGGAGCGAGCGAGCAATGAGAGAGTAGAGAGAGAGAGAGAGAGAGAGAGAGAGAGAGAGAGAGAGAGAGAGAGAGAGAGAGAGAGAGAGAGAGAGAGAGAGAGAGAGAGACAGAGAGAGAGAGAGAGAGAGAGAGAAAGAGAGAGAAAGAGAGAGAGGTTGGGGTGGGGGTCGCAAGACACACTCCCCGACGGCCCTTGGCCTGTACGAGGTTTTCCGGAAAACAAAAAGGAAAACAGAGGGTCCCCAGCACTTTGCGTTGCCGGAAATTTCCAGGGAAAACAGAGGGTGTTTGGTGCTCCATTCTGGAAACTCGCGAGTTTCCCTGAGTCTGAGAGCTGGTCTGGGGCAAAATCTGAGGCAAAATTGAGGAATCGACAAAATACCCAGGCGGTCGCAGGGTAATTTCCAGGTCTACACGGGTTCTCCGCAAAATTCCCGGCATTTTGACGATTTGGCCTAAAATTTGGCTGATTTTGGGGCCCAAACCAGCCTCACTCAGACTCGGCTCAGAGCCAAAAATTTGACGATTTCCACGGAGTTTTCTCGGGAAAATAGAGAGGAAAAGAGAGGGTGCTGTAGAGAAAAAAGGAAAGGAAAACAGACGGGGTGCGAGAGGAAAACCTCGTACAGCCTAAGACGGCCCGGGTGGCGGGTGGGACGGTGGGACACCGTTGCGGACCACAACAAAAGTACAAAACCTCTCTCTCTCGCCTCTCCGTTGCGCGTTGCCGTTGGCGTTGCGGCGTTGCGCGTTGGGAGAGAGAGAGAGAGAGAGAGAGAGAGATCTTCTCTCGCGTTGGTAGGGGAGTTGGGAGAGAGAGAGATTGTTGTTTGAGATTTTAGAAAACCAACAAGAAATCACGACTCTCACAGTGATTTGGGCTCGGCAGCTTGCCAGCTTGTCAGTCTTGTCAGTCTTCTTCTTGGAGTTGGTTGGGGGCCCCAGGGTGGCACAATACATAATACGTATAATACAATACGTATTAATACAACAATACAATACAATACGTATAATACACTACTCCCTTAATGTGGGTAAACGAAAGTACCGTATACGGTACTATCAGAGAAAAAGCCGAAAAAAGTCGCCGCGAGAGTCCGCACGGCAGCCTCTTCCTCTCGACCAGCCTCAACTTCCATACAGTCAACATTTTGTCGCTGCGTGCTCGTGGTGAGCTGTGGCGGCGGTCGAAGTTCGCCCAGATTCGGTGACGAGCGCCGGACGATAGTACCGCCTCTGTTCGCCCTGTGCATGTCAGGCCAGGCTGCAGCAGGGCACTACCATCGTGCTGCCCTGTTGCAGCCTGACTTTGCCCACTGTGCACAGTCGCCAAAGCACCACCACCGCCCGGCATCGTGTCACGGCGAGCTCCTTCTGCGCCCGCTCGCGAGGCTCTCGCGCGGGTACACTTTGGCCATCTGCTGCTCGCGTTCGGTGGGCTCTTCTCCGCACTGATGCCACGGTGCCGTCACCACACACCTTCTGGCCGGCCTGAGCCGCGCGGGGTCGCCGGCGGGGGCAACGCGTCGACCTCTCTCTCTGGTGCACCACGGGCCGCAACGGCCTGTTAGCAGCGTGCGCGAGGAGGCAGTGTGCCGGCACAGTCGAGCCGGAGCATCGGGGTCTTGATGCTTCTGGGGTCAAGTCTGACCTTATGCGGCCTAATCTGCAACAATAATGCTATGCTCTCACCCAGCCTTTTGAGATATGATCCCTCAAAGTCGAATTTTCGTTTACTGGTGACCATAGTACCGTTTGTCTTGTTTGCGTTTCTTCAAACGAATCCTTTAGAGTCTCGACAATCACTAAGCTGCTTATGTGGCACCGCAGAGGCTCCCTTGGGGATGCCTGAGGTCACCCCAACCACTCACTAAGCCGTACGTAGACGAATTGGGCGCTACTTTTTTCGTTTACCCACACTAAGGGAGTATACAGCTCAGTCTCGCTCGTATTGTGCAACCCTGGTTGGGGCGAACAGCACTGGTCAAAGAAGGCGGAGGGAGAGGGAGAGAGCTGAGAGGCAAATTGCTCGGGATGGGGCCCGCCGCATATGTCACAGCTCACGGGAAAGCCAAACCCGAGCACGAAAAAAGAAACAAACCCGCCAGACGCGGCGGCTTCCACGCTCGGCAATCGGCGAGCACTCAAAGGTATCCGACTTCGGCGCCGCCACCCTCTCGCCCCCGAGCACGCGCGCCCCCCGACCCGATCCACGCACCGCCGCGCACCCGCTCACCGCCGGACGCCCCCTCGCCCCGCCGCAGGCACCCCAACTCCTCCTTCCAAACAACAAAAATGGCTGACGACGAAGTTGCGGCGCTTGTGGTTGACAACGGCTCCGGCATGTGCAAGGCGGGCTTCGCGGGCGACGACGCCCCGCGCGCGGTCTTCCCCTCCATCATCGGCCGCCCGCGCCAGCCCGGCGTGATGGTCGGCATGGGCCAGAAGGACTCGTACGTCGGCGACGAGGCGCAGTCCAAGCGTGGCATCCTCACGCTCAAGTACCCGATCGAGCACGGCATCGTCACGAACTGGTGCGCGCCCGCTGAGAAGCCCCTGAGCCCACTTCCCCAGGCAAATCTTCGATTCCCTCGGCCGCCAACCAGCCCGCTTCGTGCCGACTCCGGTTCCTCTCCCCCTCGCACAGGGACGACATGGAGAAGATCTGGCACCACACCTTCTACAACGAGCTGCGCGTGGCACCCGAGGAGCACCCGGTCCTGCTGACCGAGGCGCCGCTCAACCCCAAGGCCAACCGCGAGAAGATGACGCAGATCATGTTTGAGACCTTCAACGTGCCCGCCATGTACGTCGCCATCCAGGCCGTCCTCTCGCTGTACGCGTCGGGCCGCACGACCGGCATCGTGATGGACTCGGGCGACGGCGTCTCGCACACCGTGCCCATCTACGAGGGCTACGCGCTGCCGCACGCCATCCTCCGCCTCGACCTCGCCGGCCGCGACCTGACCGACTGGATGGTCAAGCTGCTGACCGAGCGCGGCTACTCCTTCACCACCACCGCCGAGCGCGAGATCGTGCGCGACATCAAGGAGAAGCTGGCGTACGTGGCGCTCGACTTTGACCAGGAGATGCAGACCGCCGCCTCCTCCTCCTCGCTCGAGAAGTCGTACGAGCTGCCCGACGGCCAGGTCATCACCATCGGCAACGAGCGCTTCCGCTGCCCCGAGGCGCTCTTCCAGCCCTCCTTCCTGGGGATGGAGTCGGCGGGCGTGCACGAGACGACGTACAACTCGATCATGAAGTGCGACGTCGACATCCGCAAGGACCTCTACGCCAACGTCGTCCTCTCGGGCGGCACCACCATGTACGCCGGCATCGCCGACCGCATGTCCAAGGAGATCACCGCCCTCGCGCCCGCGTCGATGAAGGTCAAGATCATCGCGCCGCCCGAGCGCAAATACTCGGTGCCGCGCGCCCCATTCGCGCGCCCCATCGCCTCCCCACGCTTCTCTCACCGCCCACTCCCCTCCTCGCGCACAGGTCTGGATCGGCGGCTCCATCCTCTCGTCGCTCTCCACCTTCCAGCAGATGTGGATCTCCAAGCAGGAGTACGACGAGTCGGGCCCGTCCATCGTGCACCGCAAGTGCTTCTGAGCTGTGACGAAATAGAGGGGGGGGGTGCGGTAAGACGCGCGCTCGGCTTGCGCCACGAGCATCGCCATCGGGGCGCAGGGCGGCGGGGCGGGGCGCTGGGCGGCTCGCGCGCGCAATGTATCTTACAGTGGTTTCTGTGAACTATGATCGCAGCATGTTTCGCGTTTCGAGCTTCGACTCCGAGAGCTGTCCGCTCTGCCGTCTGCGGCTCGACAGACGAGGACACGGCGCCGCTCACACGTCACAGTCACACACTGGGAGACGGGGACAGGCGCGACAGCGACAGGCCGCCGGCGCGCGGGCATGCGTGGGGGGCGCATACATGGAAATCTCTGCGCAACATCGGAAGATCCTTGGATTGTAGATCGTAGATGCCTTTTAGAGATCTCTTAAGTGGCAAATCTCCTGCCAAGAGCAGCAGTAGATTGAACAACTGGTGGAGGCAAATCTTCTCCGGTGTAGATGCTCGAGAGGAGTCTGAGATCTCGAGTTGGTGCGTGCAGTCGCTTGAGATCTTGCGACAGAGGTGGAGATTCTGACTTCGCGCCAAAGGCGCCTAGAGATCGTGTGGGCCGACTGGAGATTGCAAAATGGCGCGAAAAGAGTGTGGAGATCCTTTTGCTATGTGAATGAATCCATAGCGCATCTCCTTGAAGGTTTGAGCCCCCCTCCTCCCCCGGGCCCCCGAATCGAGATTGGAGATTGGAGATTGGAGATGGAGATCGGAGATCTGACTGAATCCGGCCTAAGATGACGACGTTGGAGATTGGAGATTGAAGATGGAGATCGGAGATCTGACTGGATCCGGCCTAAGATGTAGCGACGCTGGAGGATTGGAGAGTACTGGGGAGATGGAGATCGGAGCCCCCCAGCCCCTAGTGGTGACTCATCGATTTTCTTGTTTTGTTTTTAGACAAAGGTTCTGTGGACTGTGCGCGGACGGCCCGGGGAGCCTCCGGCGCCATTTTAGAAATTCTACCCAGAGGGGTGGTTGAGGGGTTGAGGGTTGAGCCCCCCCCCTCAACCCTTTAGTTGGGGGTTGAGGCCTCCGGGGCCTATTCACAGGCTCGAGCGTGATCACAAGATAAACTGAAACAGGCTGCCAGCCAAAAAATCGCTTCGCCTGCGGCGCGCTCTTGCGCTCCTCGGACCTCGAGCGCAATCCATAAGTAGGAGACGCTCACTGTCGCCATTCAGGCGCCTGATCTTTCATCAGCAAAGCGATGGCCTACCAGGTACGAATTCAGATGCGCGCCCGGCAGAAGACGCTGTGCCGCATGCAGGAATGCGCACAGAGAACGGACGGCAAGAGAAGGCAAGGGAAGGAAGAGAAGCGGCTGGTGAAGCTCAGCTCACGGCGTAGTATTGCGTAAGCAACCGCGGTCACTCACCATCCACGCTGCATCCACGGCAAGAGTCACGGTGAATGCTGCCGCATAAAGCAACAGAGTCGCGCTTGGCGCGATGGTCTTTTCGCGGTTCACGACTTGACGTTGCACACGGTCATAGACGCAGGATCTATTTGGCGAGTCTCAAGCAGCAAAATTTGCGCGAGAAATTAATGTCGATCCTGAGATCTCAATTTTGGCGCTAGTTTCGTTTTCTGGTGCATCACGTTCACGACGACTTGCTTGGTCTCATGTAGCTCGACGGCTCTTCGACGGCTCTTTCTGGTTGGATCAGACAGTGCTATCAGTCAACAACGCAATGCCGAGAGCAGGGCGGCCTTAGAGCAGGGTGGCCTTCGAGCAGGGTCAACTAAGCTCCTGCTGCATTTCGAGCATGGTCCATGGAAGGCGGCCTTTGCTCAAACCTGTTCGAGTTGGCCTCCGGGAACAAGGGTGCGTGGCCGGCGCGGTCTGTTTCACGTGCTGAGGGCAACGCCATCAAAATCGCGAACATGGGCCGACATGCCTCCGACATTTCTCAGGGCCCGGACGGAAGCTCTGGCCTCTGCAGACAGCCAGACCGCTCTGCGCGGTCGGACCGACTTTTTCAGTCAGTCAGTCAGTGTTCAGACTTTACTATTCTGGATACTGAGGGTATGTGCTGCTAGATCTCACTGAGCTGAGCTCGTATCTGCCTTTGGTAAGCAGTTTTGAGTTCGGTAATGTCTGCGGTAAGCTGTTTCCATGTACAGAGGGCCTTCGAAGCTTCGATGGCTTGTCAGCGCTCCTCGTCTGGGCTTGGCATCACACCCCTTCCATCCACGCACGTGTACGTGTAGCAAAAGCAAGTACTCGTCAAATGCAGCATCTAAAGAAGACGACATGAATTCACAGAGAATGTTCACTGCCTTCAGAAGTCTTTGCGCGGGGTGTGTGTGAGCAGCCATTCCGCGTGGCGTGAAGGTTGAAGGGGTCTGTCAACCACTTGGTTGATGGTTGAGACCTCTGTCAACCCGCTGGTTGACAGTTGAGGCAATTGGCCTCAACCACCGCTCTGAGTAGATAATCTGCGCTCCTCTCGGAGAAGGCGCGGGCGCGAGAGCGCAGGCCGAGGTCGCCCTTGACGGAGGCGAGGCGCGGCGCGGAGCCGGAGGTAAAGCTATGAAAGCTGAAGCGTGAGGCACTGGCTGTGCGATGTGAGTTGTCACTCTCGATGACGGAAGCGAGACTCGAGTACTCGACGGTGACGGCGGCGGCGACGGCGCTGGCGGCGGAGGCGCTGGCGGAGAGCTCGGCTACGGTGGAGGCGGCGGCAGGGCGCACCCAGTCGGAGTCGAGGGCGGCGCAGGCGTCTCGCGCGCTGGTCTGAAGAGCGCCGGCCGTGCGAGACGAGGTATCACGCTCGAAGACGAAGGCGAGACTCGGGTCCTCGACGGAACGACGGTACAGCTGACGGCGACGGCGGGCGCCTCGGCCTCCGTTTGGGCAGAGGCCTCAGCTGGTTGGTTGGCCTAATGGTTGGGTAGTAGGGCTAGAGGGTCGCTCTACACTTAGCCTCTGCAGCGAGCGAGCGCTCAACTTAGCCCCCGCACCGAGCCGGGCTCAGACTTAGACGCTGTATGGTCGGGTGCCATGAACTTAGACGACATAAGGCCAACTCCGGGCAAAACCCGGGTATACCTGAAAAGCCTCCAGGTTTACCCGAAAATACCTGGACGCGTCCCGACCAACGTATGCCGCGCACGACGCCATATCGCCTTCTCCCAGGGCCAGTGCGCTACTCACGGCGCGCAACGCCTGCTCAAGTACGCGCACCGTACCATGTGCTGCCGCTATGCGTGCCGGCGGCTGCGGCGAAGCGGCGGGCGCGGCATGCCGATGGCAGTGCCGACGATGCGGTTGCGATGTGTTCTGCTTCAAGATCGTGGCGGTGCTTGGCATGCACTTCTGCGATCCCAATCAGCTCATCGCAACGAAGCAGCGCAACAAGCTGGCTGCTGCCAACAAGGCCCTATGCTTCCTCTCACGCGCGGATCGTTCAAAGAGGACCAGCACACACAGGCTTCACCGTCACACGTTTGATTAAGCTGGAGGAGCTTCGTGTCATGTGAGAACTGTTTGGCTAGACGTCGCTCAAGAATGAAGGAGCAGCAACGAAAATCGGAAGAGGAGGATGCTGAGGCGGCGATTGCTAAGCATGAAGAGGATCGATCGCCCGCCGCAGGCGAAGAAAATTTGGGGGCTAGCGCTGTATCGTTGATCACGGTCGGTGGGAGCCTCTGGCCCCAGGCCGTGCCACGGCCGACTTAGCCCGCATAAGAGGCTGCCGCCGATCTTAGACCGCGTAAGCACCCCAGCGTGCCAGGGTACACTTAGACCCGCTAAGTCTCGAGGCTCAGAACTTAGACTACTACCCAACCAGTGTTGGCCTTGTGGGCGGCGGCCTCGGCTGTCGCCTCGGCTCCACCTTGGGTACCCGGGTAGTGGCCTCGGCTGTCGCCTCGGCCTCTTGTGTGACAGCCTCGGCTGGCGCCTTGGCAGCCAGGTCGGGGGCTGCGCCCCCTTCCCCCGGGCCCCCCCACGGTCGGCGCCCCGGAGGAGAGGTCCGACAGGAGGCTTCGGCGTCGGCCCGCAGCCGATGGCAGTAGTGAAGGAGGCAAGGGGCAGCCGACGGCAACGGAGCTGGGCGGCGACCGGTAGACTCGATCGAAGCAACCCCCCCAACACGAGATGGTCCGCATCGTCGGCACCCTCGCTTGGGACTGGGGCAGGGTGGGCGATTTGAAGTTTTAGTTGAGCTGCGCCGGGTCTCGGCGCCGGCGATGGACGGACCTGTGAGGACGGTTGTAACCCATCCATCGGGCTGCCTTCCGGGAGCGCCTGGCGGCCGTCCTGGAGGCTGTGCTGATGCAGAGGAGCTGGTGAGCGCAAAATGGCAGGCGCCGTTGATGGAGATCATGTCTGGAAGCGGCTCTGCGGGGACTGGCACTGGTGTTGGTCCAGAAACAGCGACGGCGAGGATGACGGTTGACGGTGAGCAGGATGGTGAAAACGCAGTAGACTCCGGAGCCGAAGGCGACGCGAGTCTTGGCGCGAGCCACGCAGGCCGCAGAGAGAGCGCAAGCGGCGGTGAACCGCTCGCGAGCGCACACAACGAGCTGGCGGGCGGCAGTGAGAAAGTAGTGGACAAAGTCGACGGTGACGACAAAGATGGAGGTGGCGATGGAGAGGGCGAGCTGGATGATGGGCGGCGCTGAGCCGAAGATGGCGCGGGCGCAGGGGCACAGGCCGGAGACGGCGCGGGCGCGAGGGCGCAGGCCGAGGTTGTCGTCGAGAGTGACGGGATCGCCAGAGTAGTCGGTGATCAGATTGGTCATTTTTTCGCTGCTGCCTGCTGGGCGTGGCGGAGATGTCAAACAAAACAACTTGTTTGGTATTGCTAAAAATCTCTCTCTGAGATGTCCGCCATGAGCATGACCTCGGGGGTGGAGTGCACCTCACCGTAAGGTACCACGTTTGAGCGCGGAGGCTCAGAGCCGGAGGGTGGCTGGCTCTATGTAGGACTGTAAAGGATCAAAACACTGGGCTTCACGCGAACGCTCGCAAGGGACGTAGGACGACAAGATTGAGCACAAGGAAGCTCGAGTATTGACATTGGGGGCACGGCGCGGGATGCGCAGTGCTAGTACACTGTGTGTAGTGTGTAGTATGTGGAGGGAAAGCCAACGAGCACGAAAAAAGAAACAAACCCGCAAGACGCGGCGGCTTCCACGCTCGGCAATCGGCGAGCACTCAAAGGTATC